CTCACTGCAGACCTCCACTCCACTTCTCCTCTCACTCACTGCTCCTCAACACTCTGGCAGCATAACGCTGCTCTCTACTCCACACTCAATCAGAACGTGGGCAGCACCTCAACTGAGTGAGGATGCTGCTGGCCAGACCTGCTTTTATAGTTGGGCTGGAGTGGTGGGCAGCCACTTGGGGCTCAGCCAAAAAACGGGGCTGAGCCTGACCCTCGATCTGAACTTCGATCGAGGGCTGGGAATCTTGATATTCCCCTAGGAACATCAGGTCCCAAGCTTTGGCAATGCACCCAGCCGCCTCCCCTGGCCAAGTGCAGCCTCGAAGTGGCTGTATGAAGCCATTCTCGGCACTGTTGAAACCAACAGTCTGATGTCACTTCAAGGTCCAGATGCTTGTCTGCCCTGCATGTGGACTGAGGTTGCGAACGAATTCGTGCCCGATTTTTTTCCCCCCAACTCTTCTCCTCCCTTTTCTCTTTTCTTTTTCCTCTGCACCTACTCATATCGGCCACATACATGGCCGTTACTTTTTCTTACCCTTTCTTTTTTTTTTACTTTTACTTACCTTCTCATTTTCCTCTGGGAGGGGCAGCTCGTTTTTTTCGAAATGAGCTGCCTCCCCTCCCCACTAAGTCATTTCACAGTATCAAACTAGAGTCAAGCTCAGAGGGGTTTTCTACCTCCCTTGCTGCAGCGTGCGCCCGCACCCGGCCATCCCCAGCGCCAGGTTCGGGCGCTGTTGCCAACTGCAGCCCGTTCACTAGGTGAACGACCGCAGGGACAAGGGAGCTGCAAGCTGGAGTCTTACCTCTCGGCCGTCACATTGCCCTTCCTACCGACGGAGCAGCGAGGCCAACGTCAGGTAGGATCCCTCCTTCCCTTTCCCTCTCTCTCTCTCTCTCTCTCTCTCTCTCTCTCTCTCTCATCCCCATTCCCCAGCGCGCCCGCATCTGGTACAATAAGAGTGCCAAATTCGGGGCTCCTTCCAGCGACTGCAACCCGTTTCACTATAGCGAACGGGCGCAGTCTCCAGAAAAGACGGGGGGGGGGGGGAAAAGGGGGAGGGCGTAAAGAAGACAAAAGAAAAAGAAAATCTAGGATAAAATCTAAAAAAGAATCTAAAAAGAAAAACAACAAAATAAACAAAAGCAAAAGCTTACCTTTCTGCCAACGGTCGCCCGTTTCTCGGTGCTGCCAAGTGTACTGGGGCTTGAAACGCCCCAGTCACTTTTGAGAACGCCAGATGGTGTTTCCAAACATAGTTAATTTTAGTTTAGTTTTTTTTTTTTTTTTCCATTTCTCGATTTAGGCGTGTCATCCTTGAAAGCGCAGGGGTCACCTCAAATCCGCGTGGCTAATCTCAGCCGAACGATCTCATCGATCGCGCGACAGAAATCGACCTTACCTTTTCGATGGCCAGCTCAAAAGAGCTAGCCCAGATAGTGTAGCGTCAGCCTCGATCCCGGTACCCGCTGGGTGGAAGTCTGATGCAGTACCTACTGGGCTAGCTCTTATTACGAGAGCTAAAGCAACAACCCTACTATTTGAAGGGTTGCGCCCAGTAGGCCTCCTGCCATTCAGCTTGGGCAGGCCCCCATCAGCCCTAGCCCTTCAACCTGTCACTCTGCCGTCCACCCGGCAGGCGTCGCAGCTGGGCCCCATAGCCAGCCTTTAAGCCATGGGTATAGCCCCTGCATTGACCTGTCGGCCGCCTGGCTCGAAGTCAAACCTCACGGCTCAAATAATAAAGAAAAGCCTCTTATTCCTTCCGCGTCGCGGTCCTACACCCGACGCGTTCCTCTTTCTAGCCTACTTAGGGCCTGAATAGACTAGGTCTAGCTTTAGTCTTTCCATGACCGCGCACCATTGTCGCCTTGTCAGGACCTGCGGACGACAAGTCGTACTGCTGACTCCCGATGTTTCGACCAACGAAAAGAGTCGGACAGCGTCTGACCTTGAAAAACTCGGGCAGAAACCCTCACCGGGGTTTCTGTCCCGACAACGCTATAGACACGAATACCCTTACAAGGGTATCCGCCCTGGTTTTCGAATTGACAGTTGGGAATACCGTGCGAGTCGCGACCGGTTTTCTTTTTGTGACCAAGAGCTTGAGAGGGTATGGCCGCGCAAGAATCGAGGGGTTGACTATCTGGCGAGACTATCCCCTTCGGTCTTATCGTCGGCCCCATCTCTCGGGGCTGACTGGTGGGACAGTACGTTGCCGACGCTCCCCTCCCCCTCGGTTTAGTCCATGGCTACGCCGGACCCGAACCTTTCCATCATCCCTCAGTGGAGAAGATCCGACTTGGTCCTAGACTAGTGGAATGTCCCAACTCACCATGTGGCCAGTTCCCGTTGACCAATCCCTTAGATCCGTAGGCCATACTAAGGTGATCCGGCCGAAGTCTGCCCTGTGTTGGCAACAGCATCGAAGCAGCTCGTGACGCACTGAAACTGACCACTCGATACTGTGATGTCTGAACCAAAACCCAACATAGCAACCAACCATCGAGCCGTGTTAAAACCAATCGTAAGAGCTGATCACCCCTTGGTGGAGGTTGGGAAAAAGAACTCATCATGGCGCTAGTGCCAAGATTCCGCGACCGCAGCTACCTCTCCCTGAGCCTCACCTCTATTCATCATCGTCTCCATGATTTTTCCTGGCCGACCTCCATACCCACTGGTGGTGGACGCGTACAGGCCAGTTGCCTTTCCTTCGCCTCGTCAGAACCCCCGATTTGCTGCTCGCATTCGAGCCCGCTTGCGACCTCCTTCCGGGTCGTCGCCCCTGCTTGTCCAAAGGTTAGTGCAAACACCAAAAATTCAAGATCCCGGCCAGACCCCACAGCCAACATGCATTCATATCTCAAAAACCATGCAGAAATAAGAAAAACACACCTGAAATTTTATATCCTTGCAGGAAATAAGCATTCGGCTGGTAGGCAGCCGCCCGACAACGGGCCTACCCCCACTACTTGAGTGTTTTTCCTGCTGCAACCCTCAAAATCACGTTACATGAGCGCTTTTTTTCCAGCTGCTCTAAGTGTTGCGGCCCTACCCCTGCTACTTGAGTGTTTTTCCCGCTGCAACCCTCAAAATCATGGCCACAGGTAAGTACCGGCCCTGCGGGGCCTCCAAACGAACAAGTACCCTTGCGGGTCACACACACACTCAGGCCGACAAGCACTCCGACAGGCACACATACAGACTTAGAAACGCAGCAGAATGAGGGAATCTCGGCAAATCTCAGAAATCAGCAGTGTTCTCAATGTGCGGTTTGGCGGGTCATTACAGGTATAGTGATGTAGCATGCGTGGTATTGTATGGACTACCTGTGCTTGTCAGTCACCTGCCCGTTGAGTGAGAGAAAACACTGGGCCTACCTTTGAATGTCAAGGGCCCGCCTTAAGCTAAACAAGCCCGCAAAAAAAAAAAGAAAGAGAGAAGGGGGCGGATGCCTATCCCAAGGATGGTGTGGGGCTGCCATTATAAATTGGTACCGTGGAGTGACGGGAGTCGATCTAGTTAGCCCAAATTATGAATGTTGCCGCAAGTTGCACAAAATGATAGGAGTCGGATGGGTCCAGGGTGTACACGGGATAAGACGGGCCTCTCAATGGAGCTGCCAGGACTGCTCGAGTATTAGACGGAGCAATTGCCTGATAACTAACCAAAGATGAAGAAATGTTCCACCAGGTCGTAAATTGACCAGCTAACCCCGACAATGAGACCTGGCAAGCTACAACCACCATTGCACAGTTGACGCCATGGCCCATCCCTACCCATTTTAAAGCAATAGGTAGAGTGGCTCCAAGGTTCCTCCTTATGGAAGCGAGGCCGCCAGACCAGCGAGGAGTGCAGGTCCGGTCTTCTCTCTTCAATCTCTTGGACCTGGGCCATCACACCATTTGATCAAAGCCCCATTTTGATGCTGACTTGAGGTGTCACTACTCAGCCATTGAGACCTCGCACTGGCCTATCCGTCGGCCCATGGTGTACCTTGACTTGGGCATCACCAAAAAGTCATGCTTAACCTGGTGTTGTTTGCCTACACCAATAAAGATTGGAACATGATGGAGCTATGCGCATGTGGGGAAATTTAGCGATGTAAGCAAAAAATGGTGCATCCATGCTATTGAGGGATGGAGTTGTGACGGATGGAAGTTGCATTCCTGCGGCTACATTAGGTGGGTGCTTGTGGATCGACAAAAAGTGTTGGTGGAGTGTATTGCTGAGGCATGGAGATGTGGTAGACCTTCGTCTCAAGGTCATTAGCCTTGCTTGTGGCCGAGGTAATGTGATGGAGACCGAGGAGACAATCAGTGTAGGGGATTGGGTTGGAAGATAAGTTGCTTCGATTCCATGATTCCTACATCTACAATTGGGTGCCAATTTGTCATTGGAAAGGTGTGTTCATTTCCTTTCCCCTTGACATGCATGCCCGGTCCTTGAGAATGTGAAATGACCCCTCTTGTGCGCTTGTGTGTGATCTCCATCTTGCTCATGTGCATGGTTGTGCAAGGACGGGTGATCGTGCGTGTTGTAGCTCACTTGTTAGCATGGAGTGTAGCAGGGAAAAAATGATTAGCGCCTCCATTAGTGGACATCTGAGCAGTTTATGTTAAATCAAAACATTCTGTTTTGTTACATTGAAGAGAGATGGATTGAAAGAATCAAAACGGGTTGTTGTCGAGGTTTGAACCCACGCACAAATTTGAGATACCGACGCAGCGACGCAGCGACTACGCGACCCGTGGGCGGCAGGGCTCGCCCGCCAGGACCTGCGCAAGCTTCTGGAGATGGCCGGCATGTACGACGGCTGCCCTGGGAGAATTGAGCACCGACAACCCCCGGCCAAGCGTGTGCCGGAGTGAGTCTACTCACGTGGACCGAGATCAGAGCTTGGACGCCAGCATCAAGATGGACTCGGTATATGGTTGAAGGATCAGTGTGATGACAGGGGGCAAGTGGCGGGACGGAGAGTGCAGGGAACGGACCACCGAAATCCCCGATGAGGACAATTTGGGGGAGAGAGAGGGGAGGCGACGACAGCAAGTGAGAACAGTGGACAATAGGTCCGGGGAGTTGATGACGGTGACACGGTGAATCAGCATATCGAGCTAAGCGGGGACAGGGACACATCGTCAGAAAAACAAAAGCATCGCAGAAAAGGGGTGCATCTCACAATGGGTACCACATGGCGGCACCTGGAGGCTGTGATCACCCTGGAAGGACGGCGCGATGAGTGACACCGGAGAGTTGACGCCGGCGGGACGACGACTCGGTATATTGACTGACAATTGGAGAACGGGGACACAAAGACAGCAGAACTGCAAAGTCAACGGGTTGGGGGAATCTCACAAAGGGCGCCACGTGGCGGCGCCTGTGGAACGGGATCGCCCTGGAAGGACGGCGCAGGCTGAAGAGGCGATAGCAGTGGGAGGTTCGCAACAGCCAAATGGAAACGCCGCACCATCGACTCCAGATCGAACGGTGACCTCCCCCCTTGTCATGCCCCCGCCAACTTCATAATCTTCCCCCTCGTGCCTCCTGTTCTGCGACTTCATCTGTCCCGACCCCGCGTTGTCAACCCTGCTCCCTCGTGAACCCTGTTCAGCCCAGATCCCTCGTGTATCCTGTCCAAGGTTCCTACCTGCCCTGTTGCCTGTCCTCGAAACCCTTTTGCACAACACTGTCCGCAGATTTGCGAGTGCACCAACTTCTTTCCTTACGACCATGTAAATAGACCTCCTTTTGCACAAACAACCTCCATGATGTAAGGAGCACAACAATTGCTCTCTTCACGTCCACGGAAGGTACTCTTCATCTACGAGTAGGGGCGCGTCAGGGCACAGTCAACACACAAACGTTGTGCCGAAATATATCATAACCTAAATTCGGTCAAAACAGAGCTACCACAACCCTGGTCAAAAGGAAAAAGGAATGAGTCGTATCATGTCAGGGTCGCAACACAGCTTCCTCTTACTACACCAAAGCAACTGGGGTGCTAACCGGGATTTCGGCCCACATAGGAACAGTTGTGTCTTGTCTGAACCTAGATTACACGGATTACAAGCTAAATAATAAAAGAGAAACCGAAATGAAGCGCTTGACTGATGCAGACAACAAGACTGGCCCGACCCGCACCGTAACAGTGGGGGACGTGCTGGTATCAAAAATGAGGTCCGGGGTGAGCACACATCCATCACTCACAGAAGATGAGGGGGGGAAGGATGGAACAACAGCGCCTCGGCCCTCAGACAGTCCAGAACTATGTGGTGAAGAACTTCGTGATACACTACCGAAACAGGGGAAGGACAATGGATTGAGGAAGGATAAGGAACCGATTGAGTACTGCCCAAAGGCAGACCTGCTATCGGGCAGCCTGGACAATGGAAAACAAGGGGAACACAACGCAATATCGGAACAGGAAGGACATAACAGAACATGGAAGGACAGGCTGGTGGGAAATGGGCCGCGAACCACAGTTGACCCGGCCGCCTCAGTAAGCTGTAAAAAATTGTCCCCCCAGCTCCTTCGTGCACTCTCAGGCCCGACTCAGTCGGATGCAAACAGATCAGCCTCCCTTGATTTCATTGCCCCACTCAAAAGCCACTTTATCCAGCAACTGCATGTTGAACCTGAAAGAAAATTCCAAGTGAAGGATGGGTACATATACCCTCACTCGATATTCCCACCGACGGCCAGGGCCACAAGAGACTTCATCTACACTCAAAAAGCAGTCCACTTCCGATTTCAGCCCATGCAGCCAGGAATGGTAATTAACGACAGGGTCAAATGGATCACAGACAGGCTGGCTATGATCAAACCTGACAGACAACTGGTTTACGACCACTTCCTTATTGAAGTGGACAACCCAGAATGTATCACGGTGGTCGCCCTGTATTCAACAGACAATTAACTTTTGCTCAGAAATAGGGCTCTGCAATTCAGGGGGAGTCAGGTGCGGGTCTTACCTTGGTCCCCGGTCGATCCACAATCCGTAGACGAACGAAGAGAGCACCTAATGAAGACCAACTTCTGGGTCGAATTTAGATTTGTCCCGCTGTGTGTGCAAGGGGCGATTCTCACCGATCTCGAGAATATCGCCCACGTCAAAGGTTTCATAACAGACCTGCCACAATTCCTGGGTAAAAGGGACGATACCCTGCTCGTCGCCGTGGAATGGGACGACTCCTACCCCTTTCCCCTCAATGAGGAGTGGAGATACTCCCTGGGGGGTAGAGAGTTCTCGTTTCCAGTCAGCCATACACAGGACCCCTGGTGTTATGCATGTAAGACAAGGGGCCACCTGTGTTCAGACGACTCTTGTCCAACAACCAGAACTAACAAGAAGAAAGGCATCAAGGGCCTCGTGACTCCGGATCCGCATGACGAGGAGAAATGGTATCCGGAAGAGAAGGAATTGCAAGGCTGGCTCTTTAAAACATGTGCTGATGGACGGCCAGGGAAATGGATATGGCGGGGTGAAGGTCAGCCGGCGGCCTTTCACTCCGGAGCAAGAATTGGAACAAGCGAAGGCGCAAAGCAAACCGCCACTCCAAAAGTGGCACCGAAGTCTGGGGACCGTGGAAACGGAGGTCAAACGAGTAAGGGAAAATCAGACAAGATGAGCCATACCCAGAATGCTAAAAGAATAGGCACCGGCGAGTTCAGATAGACTTCGGTCTGTGACACGTGCAACACAATCGGCACAAAAAAACGAAGGACTGACACCTTCCCGCTTGGTTTACAAACCCAAGACAAAGGAGGGACCCTCAGCTCCCCCCCACGGACGACTATCTCAAGAAGGGCGGACCGAGCACCACCATGGCCGGCCGGGGGATGGCGACAATAATGGACCCGGCAACCTGCGAACATTACAGGCACGCCGGCTTCCACAACCACTAACCTCACAAGTCGCATCGCTACAGAAAGACCAAATGCAGCCTGTAGGAAAGGGAGCCCCCCCTCTAATGCAACAGCCCCAGACGTTTGAAGCTCAGATGGAATGACCGGTAAAGACAACCTCTAAAGCAAACTCAGATCAGGGGCAGGAGGTCACAACACAGCAAGATCGGTTGATGGGGCAATATGACAGATCAGGTCTGTCTATTCACGTCCGGGAGGGAGCTAACGGGACAGAGCCCGAGTTGTCTCAGCCGACCCCGATCCCGGCCATGGCCACTCATACTGGAGAAACTGAACAACCGAGGACAACACAGCCTGACAAACCCAATTGCGCCCCCCCCATACACAAAGCATTGATGTCCCCGGTTGCTGAAGACAATAATGATGAATCGGCTCGACTGTTTCAAGGGATGCACTCCCCCACAAAGGCAGCAGGGGACATGCAATTGATCACACACGCTGCGAACCGACCAAGGGAGACGGGAGAGACGTCCTCGGCAGTCGGAGGGAGAGACGAAGGTAATAGGACGGAGGGGAGAAAGTCCAAAACCTTACCCCCACCAAATGTGGCTCAAAGCCAACTCCCTCCTCACCAAGATTAAAGGTGCAGCGTTCACTCAACCCCGGGGGGTCTCAAAGGGTAAGAAGAGACTGTCGGCTGCCCCTCCCCTCTCACTGTCGGTAGACCCACTCTCCCCAACAAAGGCTCCACCAGGGAACGAGCTCCAACCGCTGCCCGGTCACGGGAACACCCACATGCAACTTCTGCGATCACAACCCTCCTCCTGCTCCCTGCAAGAGTCACCAGTGGGCACTACGATTAGCTTGAGGCTATCACAGTCACAACCGCAGTCACAATCGCAACCACCCGCTGCGAGCAACCTGAGACTATCACAGTCACAACCGCAGTTACAGTCGCAACCACAATCGCAGTCAAATGGGGAGCCAGGAACAAAATTAGAGTGCCAGAATGAGAATGGGGACGGAGGACAAGAACACACTTGAATGCCAGACGGTATACCCAGCGTTGATGACAAAGGGCCACAGACCTCAAGACTCAAGGTGGTGGTCTCAGAGCTCACCCGAGAGCGAAAGTTCCTCCTGCTCCCTCCCCCGAAAGATGTCAAACAGCAGACTCGTCCCCGCCCCCCAGAAGAGGACGGGGACGAGGCGTATGGAGGGACCCGGGACCACCCGAACACCCGGGATCGACAATCGACACCTGCCCCGGAACTCCAAACCGACTCTAAAGGCGGGGAAGAGGAACAACAGGATCATGAAAAGATCCAAACTGGCCGGCAAGGGCCAACGGCGCAACAAGAGCATTTCGACCTGGAGGAGAAATATCAAAACACTAGAGTCGAGACTGACCAGCTGGCGGAGGCGGTATTGAGGCAGCAGTCCGACCAGGAATGTAAACAGAACTGGCCACTGAAGTGTCCCGACCCGAAGATCGGACAACACTGCTCCCTGCAAACCTCGCTGTGCCGCTCATCGCACCAACAACAGGAGTACCATAATCAACAACAAAACCAACAACAACAGGAACACTTGCTGCAGCAGCAGCGCCATTTCAACATCACGGCACAAACACAAATTCAGATGCAGGACCAGCAACGACAGCAACAACACTTCATCCAACAGAAGGACTGTGAGCACCTGCGGATGCTACTCCAAGCACAGCTGGCGCAATATCAACATCAACAACACCAGGATAGGCTGACACAGCAGCAGTTGCTGCTTCAACACCTGCACTTGCAATGGCAGCACCAGCTCTGCTGTCAACAGCAACCAGTGCTGCAGCAGCAGCAACTCCAACTGCAAATGTTCTGGCTGCAAGAGGCAGAAAGGCAAAAAGCACAGGAACAGCAGCTACACTCTATGCCAGAACATTCAGCCATTACTCTTCCAGACTGGTACAATGACTGACAGATACCCCAGGATATGGACACATCCGCCCCCCCTTCCGATCAGCCACAGCTGAATCAACAGCAAGCCCAGCCTGTGGACATGGAGGTGGAGCCGGTTCTTCCACAGTCGACACCACCGAAGGAGGCTGGCTCGCCGCCTCTGGTGGCTAACGAAGAGGTCCAGCAAAAACTCGCATTCCTCACAGAATGGACCCTCACCAAGATTTTTTCCATGTCAGAAGACAACCCTGGGGACAACCTGAACAACAGATATTGGGGAGAGGCCAAAAATGTCTTGATATACAGCCCTAGGGTCCTGGCTACGGTCGACAAGTACAAGACAGTCTCAGCAATTGACTGGATGGATGTGGGAGCTGCAATCGTGCTGGTGGCCAATGATTTCCTAGACAAAATCAACAACTACGCCAAGGCTCGATTTGGAGAAAAATCAGACGACACCACTCGCCCACTCCTGGAGGACATTGGGGAGGCATTCCTCCACGAGGGACTTGCCCGGACCTAAAATACTGGTGCATGAACTCTGCACCACGCTGCACACCGTCAAAGAATAACCCGGGGACGCAGGCCATCAGCAACCGACAATGGACCTGGTTGTGACCCATCCAACATCCCGTGCCCACCACCCCACTCCTCAGTCCGGGGACGCAGGCCATCAACAACCGACAATTGACCTGGTTGTGACCCATCCAACATCCCATGCCCACCACCCCACTCCTCAGTCCGCCCACACCGGCAGAAACAGGGTCGATGGTCGTTGGAAACCATCCCAGAAGGGTGCAACGCCACAAAATTCGGTCAAATTGTTGGAAAGACAGCCAGGCCCACCTTCAGCTGGCCCCTCAGGGGCCCGAAGCTGTGTAACGGGAGTCGTCCAAGAAGCCAAGGATGATAATTTGTTACACTCAGATGAGGACTGTCATTTGGACACTCCACCGAAAAAGATGCGGGAGGTGGTGCGGTTACAAGAGGACGACAGCTCCCCAGTGGTGATGCCCCCGGGGGTAGCCATCTTCCCCATCAAAAGGGAGAGGGCAGAAGGCCAGTGGCTGCTCCGCCTTGGTCCACCGGTGGATACCATCCGCCAGCCGGCCCAGCCCCAACAACCAATGACTGCTCCGATGACGATGAATCTGACGATTGAAGGTTGGAGGGGTAACCCATCAACGACTGTGATCCTCAAGCGTCTGAAATATTGGGTTAGGGAGACCAACATATCACAGGTAGTGGGGGTGGTCCTGCCTCAGACACACACATTTCCGAAGGGCATAATTCCGGTCCTGCTCCTGTTGGATCCCAAAAGTGGGACCAACAAAACAGGCGCGAACTTCAGGTGGTTCAACCACCAGCAACTGATGGACCTCCCCACAACGAGATTTGTGACTAATTATGCTTGGATAGCAAGTAGAGTCCTGATCTTTATGCAGGCCTTCTTGGAAGATAACATCCTCGAAGAACACAACCAGTGGGATGACCCGTAGTCTGTGCTCCCCGTCAAGATCATGTCTTGACGATCTGGCCCGGAAACTGCCTAGTAATGACAAAATGATGGTCCCACCCTTATCGAGAACCGTGGCGGCAAGCAGCAGCAGTCTGCTCACGAATGGGGCCCGCCGATCCGCGGTCACGGCACAAGGGCAGCCTTTTGACTCTCCGCCCGAGCTAAGGGCCCCGACCCGGGGTCCGGACCGCTCACCCGGGCCTCCCGGGGTCCGGACCGCTCACCCGGGCCTCCCTGCACCACCCCCCCTCCGCCGCCCTCCCGATCGTGGCCCCCCCAATATCCACCCCCCCCCCCCACGTCTTTCCTAGAGTCAAGAGGCCACCCCAATGGGCAATCAAGCTGGCCCAGGCAAACATAGACATTCGCTCTCTTAACGTCAATGGGCTTATTCAAGCATCAACAGAAAAAAAGGAGGCGATTTTCAATATGATAAAACCCCCGGCAACGGGGTCTTGGCCAGATGCAGTTTGTATACAAGAAACGCACCTGCAGGACACCCCAGCACACAACGCAAAAGGGAAATCCATATGGCCATATGTATCCTACTCCGCACCGGCCAGAAACAGGGCATCTGCAGGGGTGGCGATCTGGCTTCCCCTATCCTCAAAATTGAAGCCGGTCAGCGTGGACAGAGATGAGCAGCACGGGAGGTGGGTCTGCCTCAAACTGATCTTCGAAGAAGAAGAATTTTACCTGACCAATATCTATGCATGAGCGACCCCACCAGTAGGCTAGAATTCTGGGCTTCTCTTCAAAACCACCTGCCAGTGGACGCCCCACACATCTTAGTAGGGGACTTCAACACCACGCTCGACCCGGCTATGGACCGCAGGTCCCCCTCCCACTCACAAGACCATGGGGATTTGCAGCAGACCGGAGTGGGACTGGATGTGCTTATGCTTAGGCAATTCATGGAGGACCGTGAACACCCCTCTCAACGTGCCTACACTTGAATGTCATCCAGAGGTGAACGAGGACTGGCCAACTCTCGTCTAGACCTCACGCTAGTATCAAAGGACTGGTCGGCCTAGTTACAATAACAGAAATAACTACCATCAGCCCCTGCAAGTCCTTTGACCATCGCATGATCACACTTGGCCTATCCTAGCCCCTGCAAGTCCTTTGACCATCGCATGATCACACTTGGCCTATCCTGGGACAATCACATCCACAGGGGTCCTGGATTCTTCAAATTGAACACGTCTCTGCTCCCCCTTTCGAAATTCAAGGATACCATCACTTCCTTCTGGGAATACTGGCAAACTCGTAAACCGGTATCAGGGGATAGAGTGAAATGGTTTAATGAAGGTGTGGCGCAGATGAGAGATAGAGCCAAAAAGTTCTCCATACAACACGCCAGGGACCGCAAGGCTCTCCTTGAAAAACTGATGAAGGATCTCGAAGATTGGGACGAGCAACTTATGGAAGATCCACAACATGGCGCCACATTTGACAGACTGCAGGAAGCCAGAGACCACCTCCAAACCTATATTGAACAACAAGCACAGACATGGAGGATATTAGCCAGGATAAAACGAGCACACACGGAGGGCACAATGACAAAGAGCTTCTTCAACAAAGCAAAAGCCAGAGCGAGAGCCAACACTGTCCCCGTGCTTAGACACCCTCTGGATGGCGCAGCCCAGCCAGCAAACAACGCGTACTCCATAACAGATTATGCTGCCCAATACTATCGGAATCTTTTCTCACCTCCCAGACACCAAACAAGCCTGCCGAACACGTGCGTCAGGCAAGGGACGAACTGCTGACAACAGTCCAAACGCGCCTCACGGACACTCAAAAGAACGACCTTGATGCCCCCCTCACTCAACAAGAGGTCTGGGAGGCGCTGAGAGACATGGACGATGAAAAGACTCCCGGTATCGACTCATTCCCGAAGGAATTCTAGACTCAATTCTGGGACCTTCTTAAGGACGGCCTGATGGAATATATTTTTGCAGTCCAAAAAGAAGGTACCTTTGGGGGCATGATCGGACAAGGAGTGACCACACTCCTCTACAAAAAAGGTGACAAGGAGGACATCAAAAATTACAGACCTATAACCCTCCCCCCAGTCCCATACAAGATGGTGGCGAAGGCAATGACTAAAAGATTGCTGCCCTAGGCTTCATGCCTAATCGTAATATTCAGGATAATGTGCTACTGGTCAATGAGATCATCTAGTACGCTCGTCAACGAAAGGCCACGCTGCTATTATTTTCATTGATTTCGAGAAAGCCTACGATCATGTCGATTGGGACTTTCTAGACATGTGCTTGGGTCGGATGGACTTCGGCCCGGTCTTTTGCCATTGGGTACAAATTCTTCATAGGACGGCCACCACGAATATTGCGCTTAATGCCCATCTCTCGCCACCAATACACCTCCACAGGTCGGTGCGACAGGGTGACCCAATCGCACCTCTGTTGTTCGTGATTGTGATGGAAGCGTTGGCCTCCTCCCTCAGAGCCCACCCTAAGATCAGCAGAGTGCCTATCCCAGAAATCCCGGACCACCTTATCCCAATAACGTCGCTGTTCGCGGATGACCTCACTGTCCTCATCAAAGCAGATGATGACAGTGTGCGCGCTCTCTCTCAGGTTATACACCTTTTCTCATTGGCAACAAACATGAAAGTCAACTGGGGGGCAAAAATGGAAGGATGTTGGCTTCACCCACAAACAGCCCCTGCCACAAGAGCCAGCAGTGGCCTGGGCAAGTAAGGAAGACGACATTAGAATATTAGGGGTGAGGCTAACAGCACTAGGTCCCCCACATGACCATGGCGATACGCTAGTCAACCTCGCGATAGGCCGACTGGCTAGATGGGAGGGGTTACACACCTCACTAGTGGGAAGGGCTTTGGCAATAAACAATGCGATCTTGGCAGCGATCTGGTACAAACTGGCTGTCTGGCCACTTAAGAGGCAACAATATGCCAAACTCAGAAAAGCATTAACTACATACCTCTGGAAAAATAGTGCCAAGGCAGAGGGTTGTATATCAAGTGTAAGTTGGGATGTACTTACGCAGCCAAGAACCAAAGGAGGCTTAGGAATCCTGGATCCTGAGAGAGAAAGTGAAGCATTGATCTTTAAAGTTGTGGTGAGACTGTTGATGGGCAACGATGTCCTCTGGTGCCATCTAGCCTGCCTTCAGATTGCCTCTCTGGCACCAGAAGCATTGACAGACAACAGGCTGCACCCCTTCCAATGGCTGACCAATAGGGACTCGACTCTGCCCTCTCACCCGCAACAACGCCAGGCGGCCGGCCCGAGGCAGGCGATGAGAGCAGATATCCCCCTGGACCCCCTGTGGCCATATGTGCTTAAGCTTTGGAGAAGGCGAGGGCCGCAGCAAAAACAGCCCCCGAGCAGATGGCAAGATATTTGGAGGCAACCCCTGTTCTGTAATCCGCACGTCCTTGACGACAATGGCACCCCCTTTAGTCTCAAGAATAATTCCCCATGGCTCACCTGGGCCAAAAGGGGAATATATACAGTAGGGGACTTGTGGGACCCGCGCTCAAATGACTGGACAACAACTGAACAGCTGCAACGCAAGCTTAAGCATGCCAAGAATGTGGGGGACAGGCTGGTCATGCTGAAGGAAGCCCTCCCCCTCGCATGTCGTCTCGCTATCCAAAATGGCCCCGATATCAGGGAAGACGACTGGACTGTCAAATTTGCAGACCTGCCCTGTCCGCTTACAGTATTTGGAGTTTGTAGTAAGGATAAAGGTCGCTGCACTCTACAAGCATACGACATTCTAAGCCCAGGGGGCAGATTCTAAAAAATCACAAGAAATGACAACCTTGATGGGCCGAGGATTGGGGGGGGTTGATGCATGTTCACATCGTGGGGGACCCGAAAGACGGACTCTACGTGTTCGAACCTACAACTCCGGTAGCTAAACTCCCTTTTGACCCGGCTGAATGGGAATGGCCTGGCCCCAAACCCATGCACTTATGGGACTATACAGGGTACAGGGCCTCAAGGACCGCCCCAGAGATTGACGAAACGCTGTCCACCAGATGGGCATGTGACTCACCCCTGGACTCACAGATGATAGTTGATCTGCCTTGGGCTAAATATGCTAAAATTATGCCCACAAATCTGCGAACCGTGCAATGGCAAATTATCCACCGCTGCCTGCCTACCCTGGAACAAAAAGGGTTGTTGTCGCCTATATGTGCCTACTGTGGCAGCACAAAGCCTCCGGCCAGGGCCACTTTGGAGCACTGTTTATTGGCCTGCCCCATGGTCACTCAACTATGGCAATGGTGGGATGCAGCCTTCCGATCCCTCACAGGAGAGAATATCCCATGGGACCTGGGGCTGCTGCTGCTGGGTAATAAACAGCACCTGATGACCCGGTGGTCCCCCTATGCAACTAATCTCTTCTCTTACACGAGACTGCAAGTGCTCATGTTGGCCTGGAGAGCCAGGTGCTTGTTCGAACGAAGGGATCACCAGTTTGGCCTGCAGACGGCCCAACAAGCCCTGGAAGAGGATATCAGGTCCCATACGCAAGATGCGTGGAAGAAATTCATTCCAGACTATAGGGAGGAGAAGGACCCTGAGGTTCGGGAAACGCTAAAAACAGCCTTCTGTCTGCTGTGGCAGGATCCGCACCATATATTTTTCGAACTTGACAGTCAGCTTAACATTCGCTGGACGCAATGGAGAGCCGCAGAGCCATCATGGCAAAATCTGCACAAATAGGACTCCATACTTGGTATTGCTTCCATGCTATTAGGAGCATTAGCCACAATGGCTCAAAACAAAGTCAAAAAACTTTCCACGCCTTCCAAGTCCCCTTCTTGCAACCCAACTTCGTTCTCGTGACACAATAAGGCTCCACCCGGGCTACCATCCACAAAAGGATACACGCTGCACGCTTAACGGTTACTTCATATGATTGTGGCCCTGACCCTGCTTCGTCCCCCTCATCTCCCCCCTTACCCTTCATCTGTCCCCCATTGCCCCATACCCCCACCCCCACCCCTTCCCCCCCATTCCGTCCCCTCTGATCTAATAGTCTCCCTCTTATCTCACAATCTCCAGCGAGGCAGGACCAACGAGTGGAGCGACTGCAAACGACAAAAGCGGCACCGACGGACATGCAAGAGGCGAAGGACATTGCCATCTCCCAACGATTGGACAGGGATGTTTCTCACAACGACACCCTGGGGAGGGGAGAGCTGCATTTCACAATGCGTAGCCACGGCCTACCCCACCCTGGGAATAAATCCGGGGACAAAGCAAAGACGAGCTTCCCTTCAGCGGCGTCCAGGGGCCGACATTATGGCGATGAGGACAACAGAATGGATGTTGACAGGATAGTAAAGACAATGGGAGGGGTACTAGGTGTGGTCCGTTAATGCCTCTCCAACTCAGTAAGTATCACAACCATCTTCACGATCAATACATTTGGGGGGCTGCATATACACCTGGGATAGTGGTCCACCGTCGGCAGCAGGGGGAGAGCAGATATAGACTTAAAGACTGGGCGAGCAGCTTCCCGGGGGGGCTTGGCCACTAGTAAGTAGGAGCTATACAAAGGGAGGGGGAAACACATGCAGCCCTGAGGGATAGGAGGTAGCTCCAGAATAACGCAACCACGGCCAAACTGCCCAAACATTCATTGTGCTGTAATAGTTGTATCTGAGGGACGCTGGACCCGTTTTCCAGCAGGTGTTGCTTCCCACCAATAGATGGAGCCTCCCAGGAGGTGCTAGGGGTGTCTGCTCATCTCAGCTCCCCTAGCATCCGCCCGGGTTGTGTTAAAAAAAAGAAAAAAAAAAAAAAAAGAAAAAAGAAAAAAGAAAAACAGATGGATTGGACTAACAGCATCTGTACAATGCTGTATGCAAACAAGTGGATGGATGGTATGGCCTCTAGCATGTTACGACCTTGCTTGGGTGCGGACATACAATTGTGTACCTCACACTAGTTATCTTGCTCGAATTATGTTGTAAATCTCTATGATCGAGATGCCTGTTCCGAAGTGCGATTGATGTTAGGTGCATCAAGATGCGAGTACCAGAGACTTGATTTGGCTCTGGCAAGGCCGAGGCATTGTTCTTCAGCACGAGGGTCGTCCCACACCCCGACAATCTCCACTCCTGTATTAGGCCGGCTACATTTGTAAGCAATGCCCCTGGCCAGGCAAAGTAGGGCACAGGGAGTGCTAAGCGCGTTAAGGTAGACCGTCTCACCAGGCCTGTTGATCCCTGCCCTCCTTACCGATTTAGGAATTGCCAAAAACATTAAAAGGCAACCGCCTCTTGGGTCTCAATCACAATGGCCATTCATAGCTGTGAAGTAGGGCAAAAGAGGGAGGTTCAAGGTAGTAAGGGTGGAGAGGTACAAGTGTCCTAGTCAACTATTTGCATCCAGACCTTGGGAGATCAGTGCCCTAAGCCTTTGACCAATCATCTTCATTATCCATGAACGTCCAATCCACTTCGCCCGGCGAAACTCCCCTGTCACACATAAAAGCCATGGCATGCGTACCAATGTCTCAAATGGGGATATGCCTCCAACAGAGGTGACAGGCCCTTGGGGTGGAAAAGATCGCCTTGTCAAGTCCTATCCTATCATAAGCTCTAAAAAATGTAAGCTGGTGCACCTGGTGAGAGCAGCAAACATCAGTGCACTCCACTTTATCGAACTCATGCATGACATGGCAGGGGATTGAATCATAATCACATGCTGTCAAAGGTTCGTCTTAAGACAAGAAAGAAAGGAGGAGAAGGAGCAGGGCAAGGGTACAAAATGGTTGGAGGATAGTGCAGGAGTGAAAACCGTTGATTACCGCAAGCGGCCGTCCGAGAACAAGTGAATACTCTGTGAAGTTGACACTCTTCCTTCGAGCAGGCAGCTGCATATCTGGTGATCCCATCTCCTTTGACAATTGGTTCATTGGATGGAAAAGAACAGAATCTCGATTCCCTTTGCATGTGAAATCAAGGATTTTCCGAAGTAGCCAGTAGCAATTAACCACCATGTGACTGCTGTCCAGACAGTTAGAGTCCCCATAAACAGAAATCTTTCCCTTTCCAAATGTAGCGAGTCCAAGAATAGGTGACTCAACCTGTAAAAGAAGATGAAAGATGACGTGGATGTATGCACATTCCAATCAATATCAGTGATTGGTCCTCTCAGATTGATTTCCCACAATCAACGACACATCCACTTCAGAGTTTGAGACACGATATCTGCCTGCAGAGGACTATGCTATGCTTGAATTCACAATAACTGCATTTGGAGGCGAACTTGGCAAAGACCATTAGAGCAAATTAGAAAACCTTGACAATACCAACAGTGAATGGCACCCGTTGTTGACTGAGCACCAAAGCATTTGCAACACAGTCGGACGCAATACTACCAATGCCATAAGGCTCAACAGATTCGCTCGCTTCTCACTGAATTCCATTTTTGGAGGCTTATCAAAGTGCTATCCACATCACTCACGGATTACTCCTCATCAACATCACATTTCAAAACTGAAGACACCTTCAAACCTTGCAATTCTTACTACGGGATCTCTGAATTCTCCTTGGTATGGTACCACCGTGGAGTTATTTCCCCAGTTCCCACGATCTCGAATTTAATTGAATTGTCTCCTGAAGGTTTAGGTCCTTGCGTGAGTACCTTCTCAGGCAATCTAGTGCCGCGTGGATTCTCAAGTCTCAGGCTCGCTATTGACATCGAGCACGAATTCAGCTGTGGCTTACTGTCCACGTATACGCCCGCCGCCTGCTTGAGACGTGGACGGTAACGTATGGCCCGGAATGGGACTGGCTCAAGTCCGAGAAGTAAAAGCACCATGAGGTGTAAGCTTACTCGTACTATGATGATGCCAGAAGTCGTTTTGATATACGATTTTACCTTGTGTCTATTTTATTTCTTATTTTTGGGGCGACCGTTTGAGTCACCGAGCTGTTGTTGCCATCAACATCGCTGCCAGCACTGCCATCATTGCCATGATTGCTGCAATTGATGGTATCGACATCACCCTTGCTGAAGAATTTGTCAGTGTCCGTGACATCATTTTCAAACTCTAGTTGGATGTCTTTGTGTCACCTCATCATCATCATCTTCATTGTAACCATCACCATCACTACCAAAAACACCACCGATGGCCACCCATATAATGTAGATGTGAGGCTTGTCGCATACCGTAATGGTGCAGACCAGAACAAGAACCGACCTCTCTCACATAGTACAGGATAGCGCAGCGGAAGGCTAAAATACCAATGATCAGACCAATCAATGTCGCAATGCAGACCAAACATACATGATCGTCATTGCAAGGTGTGAAGGGGCCTGGCGCTACCCACAGGAAGAGTGCACCAGGCCCAGATCATACACAGATGAAGAGGAGGGGATCAGACGAAAAGGGGGGAGAAGATGAGAATGTCGTCAACACCAATGTCGTTGATATCGATCCCAACTAGTCTCCCATCAATGTCTCTGTCCCAAGGTTGAGTCTGTATCCAAATGTCGTCAACATCCGGAAGTCACAAATCTCTCTCTCTCTCTTGTAGTCTGTCGATACAAAGCAGTCAGGTAGTTGGAGGGGAAGGGAGAGATGGTGGACTGGAGGAAGAAGAAGAAGAAGAGCTCTATCTCTCTCTTCTCTTGGTGCCTGGTACTAACCTGTGAAGGTGGCGCCTTGCTGCAGGTACCTCGAAGACGAAGCTGGAGCGATGGCATCACAGGTAAGTCTCCCTGGCCTCCTCTACTCTGAGCGCCCAGCGCTGAAGACTACTCCTGTCTCCTACTACTGCAGCGCTCCTCCGAGTGCTGCTGCCGAGTGCCCGAAGACTGCCTCCTGAACTGCCTGACCCCTCCCGGGCGGACCAGCACTATATAGCGCTGGTCTGGCTGGGAGGCTGATCTTGCCAATGTCGGCAAGAGCGTCGGCAATGATATTTGAGTTGTTTGTATTGCTCTTATTTGGATGGTATCTTGGTGCAATGTGCTCTCTGCTTGGTACATGACTACCTGGGGTACTTCGTGATTTTGCAATTTGAACTTCTATCTATTGCTCTCACTCGTATTCCTTGCAATTTGGTATCAGAGCTGGTTCGATATCGCGGTTACCAGCACTGGCGACTTTGTTACTTGGTGCACTGATGAAGAGTTTACGCAGTGAGGATACATTGGTGCTGGCTTGATTAGCCACTCCTGGGTAGAGGGGAGTGTGGCTGGAAGGCTGTGGCAACAGCGGATGTATGTAGAATGATGAGAGTATGTTGATGCATTTTGGCTGCGGTGGCAATCCATTGCATTGTGTGTGGTACCGAGGCTATGAATAGTCATCAAAATGCACGTCGGCTGAATTGGTGAGAAATTTGTGGATGGGGGCAGCTATCTTCAGGTACGTTGTTCACTTACCTTATCTTCCCATTCTCAATTTTCTTACCATGACGACGTGAGGAAAAGAGTATGACTTGAGTGTCCTCTTCTGGTTCAGGAGTCGTGAGCGCTCTTCATGAGCGCTCTTCGTGAGCGCTCTACCTCGAGAGCGCTCTACCTCGAGAGTCGACATTCTTCTGGGTGGCGTATCTGGCAGGAGACGGCGGTGCCTCTGAAGGGCCCTGGTCGAAGCACGGGTCACGGTCACCAAGCCAACCCATGGAGTGGAGCACGCATGCTTTACTGCTTTGTCCTTTCAGCTCTCGCTGAGCTATAGAGGGGATCGTGGACTGGCGAGTCCTATGTGAGATGCATACCAAACCGTCGATAAAGACCCTCTGGTGGGGATCTGACACCTCGCTGTGATCGTTGTCCTGTTCGCAATGTTAAATCATTCCTGAGGACTTCGAGGGCTCTCCTTAAATTGCCTTTTGATCAACCAGGCTGTCGGAGTAAGGCTCGTTGCACGCTGTCGACCGGGAGAAGTGATCTGCTGGCCTGCGGATCTAACCCTCTGTCCGCCCCTCGTCTGTCACCCGTGGGAGGGCTAGTTCCGAGCTCCTAAAACCTGCAATTTCCGTCGTTGAGTCAGGTATAAAAACAAAGTGTGAACTTGGACGACTCACTAAAACGAAGAAAGAACGAGAAATTTGTTTATTCAGCCAATAATGATAAGCGCAGAGGGGCTACTTCCTATCCTAGGGCAACCTCCCTCGTGCCAGTCCAGGAGTTCGGTTAGTGTTGAGACTGCACGTGTCGATATTCTTCGCTGGATCCCGCGATCAATGGGGTGTCGTGGGTGCCGCTCCCGTTGGTCCCAAGGGATCGTGCTAGAGCCCTTCGAGTCCGAAGTAACATCGCCGGCCCATTGAGGCCCGATTCTTCATCTAAGTCCAGGCTCCGTTCTGAGGCCCATTCGGGTGTAGGAAAAGGTGACGCCTTGACTCACTTGGGTGCGCACCTGGCCCTGTCCTTGATCTTGGTCCGGTCTGGTCAGGTCTGGTCTGGTTTGGCCTGGTCCGGTCTGGTTTGGGTCCAGCCTGGTCTGGTCTGGTCTGATCTGATCTGGTCTCGACGAACACTCGCAACCAAGTTCGTCTGTGCCCCCACCAGCGAGCCCGGTTGGTCGGTTCAGCCACGTGGTTCCGCCGTTTCTTCCAAGTCCGTTTCTTTGGCTGTAGTATCGCAGGATGGTAGATAAGGACTGTGGGAATCTCGTTAGTCCTTTCATGCGTGTCATTAATTAGGTGGCGAGGCATTTGGAACCCTTGAGAGAGTCATAGTTACTCCCGCCGTTTACTCGCACTTGATCGAATCTCTTCACTTTGGCATTCCGAGCACCGAGCAGAATTCACATTGCGTTGACATCCATTGGAACCATTGCAAAGCTTCGTTTTAAAACAGTCGGATTCCCCTTGTCTCAGCTAGTTCGGAGCCTCTCTCTCTCTCTCTCTCTCTCTCTCTCTCTCTCTCTCTCTCTCT